CCCAGCCCGATGCCACAAGTATGAGGGCAAGTCAATGGCAGGCAGTTAACTCCCAATTCTAAAAGGAAATACCTTTTAGGCAACGTGTAATCAGCCTGTGAAACTCATTGCCACAGGATACTGTTGTGGCCAAGAGTTTAACAAAGAAATTCCCTAACAATTCATACCAGTTGGACCTTGCCAGCTCTCAACATTTATCACAGACCACTGTGTAGTTCTAGATCCATGTGGGGCTTTGCACCCCTAGTCACAGTGCAGGGGAAGGCTGTGACCGTGCACTTCATCTAGACTGTGTTTAATACTGCTTGGAACCTCTTTAAAAGCAAGGGTTGATTTGATACACAGACTAGCTGCAGTCTTCTTGTCATAACAGTGTCTACACATGGAACCACATGCTCTTTAAAGCAGTCTTCTTGACACCCAGATTGACACCCAACTGTTTGAGTATACCATGGCTCCCTTCCAGCCTGTGAGCTGAGGCTCTCTTCATATGTAGGTAGCACAGGAGGGACAGTGTGTGGCTGCACTGCTCACTGTGGTGCCTAGCACAGTGGCAGTTCATAGCTGGAGTGCAGAACCAGGCTTTACAAAACCCTAATGTGTAGAGCACCAGTGTGTGAGGCTCCACTGGGAACAGGACTGGAGAGCACATGTGGAGGTACACAGACAACTGCAGTATTGGCAATTGTATTAGGTAACACCAAAAAATGTCTGGAAGACGTATAGGCCCTCCCCATCTGCCTACTCTGAAATTTCATGCATTCTCCCAGGGTCATCCAAAAGCTTTCATAGGCTCTGGGCAGAGTGCCTGTATATGCAGTTTTGCACATCATCTGAAGTTATCCTTTCAGACTTCAGACCCAAGCTTCATGACTCAAGTCAGCTCTTTCCAGCCCCTCTGCAGCTGACCTCTTTTACAGGCAACAGAGTTCCTCCATTCTTTGTATAAATATGGATCCTTTGCAGCTTGAAATGTCCTGGAGTGCTCAAAAATCTAGCTTGGGTATGAACATTTAGCAAATTCCCCTGCAGGACAAAAGATGATTGGAAACTGTCACTTACCCTAGAATTTGCTCTAAGCATCTACAAAGTTCTTTTAGTTTATAATCAGCTCTGAAGCAGTGTCTCCAAAACAGTTCCTTTTGACAATACATGGGTTTCTAAGTTTCCTATACTGTTGTAACAAGAATACCTGTCTGCAAAACCCATGTATGTCTCTGCTGTCCACTGCCACGTTACCTGGGTGGATAGACTACTTCTAATCAATGTCAGGAGGCTGAAAGGCTGGCATCTAGAAAAGTGGTATTCAGTGACCTGATGAATGGTGATGGTAGTGTTGCTGGTTGATACAAATGGGGTCTTAGTACCTAACCCCACTGTCAATCCCTGGTGACAATGGGAATTTAGCCATGAACTCAGAGCGAGCAAGAAGGGGATTGCGTTAACTTTTTGCTGAAATGAACCAGTGACTTAAAACCACTGCTGTGAAAGCATCTTATATCTCTTGCTAGGAAAGCAGATGCGATTTCCTAGAAATTTTTAAGATGCTGCATACCAGGAAGTGTAAGATCTCACAGCATCTGTTTCAAAGATTACTGTAAACAGGTTTCCTCTTGCATAGTCTATAGATGCCAAGGCCCTTCTATCATATCACTGCAGAGGGGGAACTTTACTGCATAATTCAAAATCACAAATATTTACAGAATTACAAAGTAATCGTCAAAAGCTCATTTTACCCTGTTCCCTGCTTCGATGGGAGCCCTGCTGTTTCTTCCAGACAGTAAGCTGGCCTCTTGCCCAGACCATATATCTCTTACGACAGGCTCCTTAAGGACCAAATCTAAATGGAAGCCAAAAGAAATATGTCTTACTAAGTGACACAAGGGTAACTTTCCGAGTCTGATTCTGAGCCCATTTTAACTGATTTTGCATGGATACAATGCTGCTGGCTTTAACTGCATGAATCCAGATTTGTACTGATGCAAGCAGAGAGCCCCAGTGCCTTTGACACTGGTACAAAAACACATTTCTAAAAATGCTGAAGTTGCAACCAGCGACCTAGGCAGTATTTTAACAATTGCATTCACATCTGGCCTCTGGATGATTTCTCAGTTGTTTATCTTCCTCATTGGCAGCAGAACCAAATTGCTATGTTACCTTAGGTAAGGGGGGAACATTCACAATATCTCTTACATTTCACTGCTGCTAGAAGAGTTATAGGAACAAACCTACTGTCCAAAATAGAATAATCTACAGCTTTGACTGAGCTTTGTAGCAGGCTTTCGGGGCAGACTGCCCCTGCTCCTGACACAGGTACCACAAGAAGTGCACGCCTTTTCCAAGAGGCCTGAGAAGGGCAGGGAAGGGCTTAGGGAGGTGTTACTGCTGGTGGGAGAAAATATAGCATCCCAAGGGATGTCAAAGCTTCTGCTCTCTTGGTGCCTCTGACAGAGCTTGTTCAGAGCCAGTGCTGTTCTCACCATTTTCTCCACCAAATATCCCAGCAATCTGTGGTAAAGAGGACACTAGGGTAAACATTCAGACTACCACCAGGATTTATGAGCACCTCTGAAGCTTGGGCTGCTCAAATGCAGCACCCCAGGTTGGATTGACAGAGAAAATATTCCTGTGATACACCTGTTCTTTTCTGTTTTTCTGGGGGGTACTTTATGTTATTTATACATAAAAGGTTGTATTTCTCATGCACCTCTCAAGATACGTGGCTTTATCTTTTCAAATACTCTCACTCTTAGGACTGGACTTTACATCTACCTAATCTAACATAAATTAGCTCAGGGAAACTGCACTGTAGCAAAGTCCACCTCTATTTGCCTGAGTTTTGAGCTCACCAGTGGACATGCTTTGTCTCTCTTGTTGCTGTTGGGCTGAATAGAACTAGGACATGCTGCAGCAGCACCATCATTTGGCCCACATTGTCACTGCCTAGCAAAATCCTACAGCAATCGCTGGCATGATGAAAGTGTGAAAGATCAGATGGTGACCAATGTTCTGTTGGGGAGGCACAAAATGGCAACTGTGGAGTAGCATGAGAGAGCCTGATGCTGTGCACTGATACCAGCATTACAGATAAAGTAACAGGATGTCAGCCTGCCCTCACTTCCCAAACATACCCCGCAATTTGTTTGGTGAATAAATCTTTCCTCATCTCTGTTCTCCATTTTGCCTCTCCCACCAAATTTGCAGTAGTGTTCATCCCATTCTTGCTTTGGGAAGGCACCCCCATTAAAGTCCTTTTCTGTGAAGAGGAGAGAGTACAATTTAGCTGTCTGTAACCGTCTGTTTCCATTCATTCCTGGGGTTTTCCAGCTGCCCAGGAAAACAATGCACTGATACACTCTGTGTGGACTTGAACCGCATCCAGAGAAAAGGGTTAGGTGGGGCCGGGAGATTTGGGGAGTGCTCTTTGTCCTGGAAAACTGCATGGATACTAGCACAACATGGTCAGAAAGATGGTGGCAGAGGAAACAGTCTGCTGATTCCCCAGCCGTGGTCCACACACCAGGCTTCGGGGTGAAGCATCCAGCTCCTTGCTGGGCAAATGTCAGGAGTACCAAACTCAAGCATTTAAGCTCTGGGATTAAAACGAAACTGAATTCCAAGGGGGGCTGATGCTGTACTTCATGGGTGTATAGTAGACAGATTTCATCAGAAAGGATGTAATATTTAGTTAATTTTTCACTCAAATGTTCTTCCTCTCCTTTTTATCTTCCTTCCTTGTCACAGAGAGGCATCAAGTGAGTAATAAAAAATGCTAACAGCACAACTTCTTGATTTATACCACCAGCACATCTCAGGCAGAACTCCCTGATGAGTTGGAGGGAACAGCCTGATTAAAAATTGATGCCACAATATGGTCTGTCTTAGCAACAACACTCACAAGTGAAATTCATCTAGGATATAAACTGTGACATTTAAAATGCCTGTTGGGAGAAACTTGACCAAAAAAAAAATTGGTGTGCATGGCTTTGGGGAATAAAGGCAATTGCCATGCCACTTTATGGAATATTGTGTGTGAATCACTGAAGCTATTGTCTTCTGCTGCCTTTTTCCTGGCCTCAAGAGGTTAACTTCTTCCCAGAGCCAGAACCGCATGTATGTGCCACAGAGCTGCGTCTGGTCTGGGTATGCGGGTGATCCGGATTTCATGTTGTTTGCCTGAGAGACCCACTGGAGAGAATAATGAGGGGGTTCAAAAGAAGAATATCCTTTCTGCCAGAAGTGGTCTTTTAACCAAGCCTTTGCTTATTTGTTGGGGGAGATTGCTCACAGGGTCACCTGGCAAAAATGACTGGAAGTTATGAAAGAAAGGGCTTCCTGCCAACTATTTAAGAGAAAGAGGGAGAGGAATGGAGAAGAAACTGGAGAAACAGCAGTGAGCTGGCTGCAGGGAAAGGGACATTTTGTGATTCAGAGGAGAAGCCAAGAACCAAGGCTGTAAAGGGAGAGAGAGGACCCTGGGCTCCTTAGAAGGCTCAGTGCTATATTCTGGTGGCATTCAAGCATAAATTGAAAGCTGAGGCGATGAAAAAAGGCACAGGCACTTAACACTTGCCTTGTACAGAAGACGTGGAGATCTAGGAAGGGGTGAGCATAAAACACCAGCGTGACCTGGGTCTCGGCACTGCTTTTAAAGGTGTAGGGCAGCTGGTCTTCCCCATCCTACTTCCAAAGAGGGGCAAAGAGAGCCTGTGCTATGAAACTGAGACCAGGAGGCTTAGCTGAGTCACTTACTGATTGTTGGTTGTTCACTGAGCCCAAAGAGGTGCTTTGATACTGGTGAAAAGCAGGGTGCATGTGAGATACCCCATCTATCTTAGTCTGGGCTGTTGTCACAGCAGCAGGGACCTTGTGGGGCCAGGGCAGGGTGGGATCACAGAGAACTGGGCCTTCAGCATGCCAATGAGGAAAGCTGTCACAAGGCAGCAGAGATGCACCGAGTGAGATCCAAAGACAATGAAAATATACATACCCAGCACAGTTCCCTGCAGCTTATACCACTTTGACAAAACATCTGTTGGCCTGGAATAAAATCCCTCCCCTATTCTTAAGCAGATACATTTCCCCCTGAAATAGCAATAGGGGCTGCTGCATCTGCTCACACCATGGCCCGGCTTCAGCCCCAGGAGGATGAGGCCTTAGCTAAATCAGACTGAGCTGCCTGCTTTGCCTTACACTCTCTTGTGAATAACTTTTCTTATTGCACCTCTTTACGCAAGCGCCAAACCCCAAGCAGGCAAGAAAGCCGTCCAAAATGCAAAAGAATTATGACAGAGGCTCAAACATCACGGGGTTTTGGAAAGTTTGTTCTTTTAGTAAAAAACTAAATGTGCAAATCAAACTCTCTGGCAGCATTTGTGTGATAATAATCATGCTGATTAAGTGTTCGAGCCTCAGGATATGCTGGGAACGGCACTAGGACCTAGAAAATAACCACCCCATGCTTTTGGAAGACAGCTGCAGGCTCTTCCTGTTCTGCTCTGTAAGTGATCCATCTCCTCTCACAGATCTGTTCACTTTGGATGCAATTGCTCAAAATATGCATTACTTATGGTCATACAGATAAATACAAAGGGGACTAACAGTTGTGCTGTTAACCCTTCAGATCTCACTAGGCCTTAGGGATGCAATGAGGAAGAAAAAGATTCAGAGAAGTTTTACCTATGACTGACTTCGATAAAGCAAATCAGTTACATTAGCTAAGATTATTAACCTTAGGGAATACACTTTTCCTCTCTCCTTTCTAAATTTGTCTATGGTCTTTATTACCATTTGCTAATGAGAAAGGTGCTTGTTCTCCTGGTTTCTGTGTTGGTGAAGGAAAGGGAGAAGCTGATCAAACCAGTGGCCTTGATTCACTTTCAGCTTTAAATTCGGTATATCATTTTCATCTAATCAGAGCTCTACAGTGGTGTTAGTGAATATCTGATGTTTAAGGCATGGAGATGGATTCCCAGGAAGTTACAATGGCACAGAAGTGACAGGAGGAAAGAATCAGGACAGAGGAGATGCTATTTAGCTTGGCTGGTGGCTTTGGGACTTTTCTCTCTCCTTCCTCAACTATGAATTTCACAACTAAACCACTGAAATTATAAAAACAATAGCTGCTTTTTAGAGGCAAAACTGAAAGATGCAGCCTTGGAGTTCTTAACAGGAATGGAAACGTGAACACTGACTATTAACCATATAGGAACGTATACATGCTGTGGACCAGCTACTGCAGCTGTTTGGCTGCAGTAAATTGGTGCAGTAGGGCTAAACACACCTGATTAAACTACCTGGCTTGCTTGATGAGCCAGTTCTGCACCAGGCTCCTAAACCAGCCAGTGTCCCTCTGGGACAAGCTGCAGTAACCAACATACAGCTCTGGGCCTGCCCTAATTCATGCTAATTGGCACTGACTGCCTTCGTCACTGGGTAATCACACTTTGCAACTGGGAAATCAGAGCTTCCCTGTCATTACTGCACCCAGCAGAAGTCAAGAACAGCAAAGGACTGAGACTGACGTCTCCTGACACAATTTTGGGTCTTTTCCATACATGCTAAAATGCTCTGCTATGTCTTTCAATGAGTGGTTTGGACCCAAATGGAAAAACTTACTGATATGAATGTTTTTGTAATTGTTATTACTATTATTCTTACTAGTGTTATTCTGTCCTGCTAAGGAGGTGCTGGGGCAGGAACAACTTCTGCAAGAAATCAGATTTGAGAACCTGGTACCCTCTTCCCATCCTTGGAGCTTTCATCTCCTTGACAGCAAGTTCATCCTGAAGAATCAAACACCAATTTAAAAGAAAAAGAAGAAACCAAGAACTGGAACAAGGGAAACTTTCCAGCCAAAGAACCCTTTAATAGCAATCTATTAGACAAATCCCAGGCCTAGGGGGTTGTTACAGAGGTTTTGGATTCCTGCCAGAATTTTTTTATTTTTTTTTTGTGTCTCCAAATGTGTATTGTCTGAATGCAGCTGAAAAGGGGAATCATTCAGTGTAATCAGAAGTTTTTCCAGTCTCATGGAAGTCCCTGTTTCTGATGGGATGTGTGATCCTTAATAGCCAAGGGAGCTGACTGTTAAATATCATTTGTTATTAATTTGTATGGTAAAGAGTCTGAAACCTTTGAAATGCAGATTGTCAGCTCTGTAGTTAGACCTGAACTGAAATGATAAATTCCAGAAGTCAAAGTGGTGTTTGCTTGCTTTAATTCCTCTCTCTCTTTTTAAAAGTAGATGACAAAAGAATCTGGCCCCAACCCCCAGTGAAAAAAGAAGCTCTTATTATATCAGAAAAATAATTTCAAAGGGCAAGTCAATAAAGCAGGATACACACAAAATAAAACCTTTGGAATTCTGTTATTGTTATTATTATTATTGTAGGTTCAGATGACTCAAATGTTATTATTTTCTTCTTGCATTACCAGCCAAGAAAACCAATGACAACCACAGAAAGCTCTGCAAATCTCAGCAGTTTTGATTCCCACTTACATTACTGGAGCAGCTGTTGCATTCGCAGGTCAGCTCACATGTGGACTGCTGCACACTGTGCTTTGTCTTCTTGAAAACTTTAGCTTGATTTAAGAGCAGGATTCATGTCCAGCCTACCCTGCAGAACTAAACTAAGCTTACAGTATTAGGCATGTTACCAGGTCAGAAGGGTCTCAGTTGTGTGCTAGTACTTTATATGTTATGTAGCACTGGCTCATGTGCAGGTAAGAGGCTTGTTTTGGTGGTGGCTGCTTTTGGTAAAGTTTGCAAGGAAGAGGTCCATTCCATGGACACTCTTTTGCTATTGCGCTCTCTATGCTGCTGGTTTCCAAGGGGAAATTCAGCTGAAACCACAGTCTTGCCCATCTATGAGTCAGGATCTTTCACTCACCTTCTCATCACCATGATCATGAGGCAGCAACGTCAAAGCTTAAAAGCACTTATACCAAAACACAAATAAACCTGTGCTGACCATGAGTGGATTGTCTTGCCTGGTGTGGTGCCTTGTGGGAAACGAGTTGCACTGCTCTCGAGTTGCACTGCTCTCTTACCCTATAACAGATGATGAGTGAAGCTGGTGACAACCAAAACTACTTACATGAGGAAACAGCTATCTTAGTTTGTATCAGGCTAAACAAACAGAATGACAGCATACCAAAACTTCTGCAATGAACTAAACAAAATTATTAAAAATGCATTTTTTCCATAGAATAGCAGGGAATGATCCTTCTCCATCCCAGACATTGGAGTGCCCTAGCAGGAGCACATGAAATAAGTCTGACTGAGAGGAAGCGTTCAGTGCACTTGGGACTGTGTGAGTGCAGGTGTGAATGCCTACAAAAAGTGCGGATTTACCACAATCCACTAGAGATCATCATATTTAAAGATGGAATTTGCATTAACAATTTCAATATGATTTCATGTTTGCTTCATGCACAATTTGACTGAATACACTGGTACATTCCTCCATATGTTAACATGCTTAAACCAGGACAGCTTGACTTGATTACAAACTGACTTATGCTGAGCCACATAAAGATGGTCAGCTGTCCATGGAAAAACATGTTGCATCCAGTTTGCTCTCTCTTCAGTGTTTCTCTTGCTCCACGGAAAATTAACATACATTTACTTCTGACCTTCTCCTCTTTCTTCCATGTGTGTTTGATTTCTGTCACAGCCACCCTTAAATATGAGAACAGCTCAAAATGTGTGAGATGTTATTGCACCTCCTCTGCTGGTTGAACTGCTGGTTACTCTTGGAACAAGAGGACACCAAGCTACATGAGTCCCAGCGACTGGAGGTTGATTTAACTGAATTGAGTCTCTCCAATAAGCAAGATGATTTAAAACTAAAACCCAAAACAAATCACCATTTGCAGTGCTGAAGGTGCTGGCCACATCAGGCAGGTATCATCTGATTCAAGGACTCTTTAGCTGTCTCTTGTATTCCTGGACAAGAGTTTGAACCCAGGGGATAGTGAAAATTTCAAAGCCAAACCTGTTTTCACCGAAGATAATTTTTCCTTGACTTTCACTGCGACAGGGAAAAGAAAGCTAAAACCAAGCCAGATGAAGCACAGAGCTCAGGATATCTGTCAGAGTACTAAGGTGGGTTCCCTTTACATTTTTACGCTGTCATTAGTTAGACTTTAACAGTGACTGTGGCTCTCCTGCTGCTGCCAGAAGTTGGAGATGTCCTTTGAAGAAGTTCATTTCCTTTCTGCAAGCAGTCAGAGGTCACTGTTGAGCAAGACTTTCTACTTAAAGAACTGCTAAACCAGCTGTAGCAGACACCAAGGAGCGAACTAATTTTTACTGGGTCCAGAGAGGTGTCTTTGGAGGAGGAGAGGAGAAGGCACACCAAGGTGTGAGTGTTGGGCAGCCTCAATAGCAGGATAATGCCTCTTGAATTCCTGGGGGAAGGGAGGTGGCTGTGCAGCCCTTTCGCTTATGTAAGCGGTTAGTAGGGATTCTTTTGAGCGATGACAACATCAGACTTGCCAACAGTGGATCAGTAGGAAGTTTCCTCCTTACCTTCACTAGATGTACATGCACTGGGTAACACAGCAATGCAAAAGTACTGCAGTTGCTCAGATATCTTCATTTGAAAAAGATATTCCATCAAATTCCCACATCATACAGCTACAGAGAAAGGACATTCATGTATGCAGGCATTCTGGCAGGAGCTCTTTACTTTGGGGCCAGATGTAATTTGAAGTTATTCTGAATATTACACTGCAGCAGCCTGGCCAAGCCCAGTAATGCTGATTATTTGGGCTTTCCTGGTTTTCCAGATGGAGCTGATTTTGTTTAGTTCTCTCTCTTGTAATTAATAACTTGTCCCTTTTGTTCATTTCTGAATCTTTATCTCTAGCATTTTCTAGAATAGTTTCCAATTTAGTTAATCCATTGCTTGCTTCCTCAGTGCACGTAGCAGAACTCATTCAGCCATACAGTTTAATGACATACAGCTCAAATCTCTGCTGCACAATCTCACATCCACTTCACATCAAGCTGGCATTGTGTCATTTATATTTTATATGCTATAAACTCACAAATCATACCGTTTCATACTAGAGAAATGTCAATAATGTTAAAAAAAAACCAACCTAACCACTAGCAAACATATGGGATCTGTACATTCTGTCCTTTAAACAAGTGCAGATTTAGCAAGGAGGGGGAGGGAAAAGGAAGAGAACGAGAGCCACATCCCCCTGCTGCCAACGCAGTGCATGTTCCTGCAGCATCAGTTTTTGGATTAGGCCCATGGCCACCCTACTTTGGTTTCAAATCAAGAAGAAATAGATGGAATTCAATTCCCCACAGTCAGTTTTTAGTGATATTAGATTTCTGCATCCTGAGGAGTTTTTAAAATAGCATTCACATGAGATTAGCTGTTTGCCTTGAGAGTGTATTCATAAATGGGATATCAGATGTTAATAAATGATGAGTATTTAGCCCGTAGGCAGACATGTGTAAAATGTACTAAACCCTAGCTGGTTACAAACGCAACAGCATGGATTAACCAGACTACCTTTTTTTGTACTTTTAACTCCCAGCACACAGCAGGGTTCAGTCCAGGACTGGGTCTCCTAAGTCCTTCCACAAGTTAAACAACAAATATTAAGCTACTAGAACATACAAACAAATGATGAGCTTGAAGCATATGGATGAAGTGGACTTGCACACAGTAGCTCTATGTTGGAGTCCGCCTGTACATCTGTGTGTATGTGCACAGTCCCACATATCCCAGCAAGGACAGGGAGGGATGTCAGTGGGTCCCTCTAAGGGCTGGTCTGAACCACAGAACACTGGAAGCCACACAGCAGAATATCTGTGATATCACAGGTCTGACCCCAACATTAGTGGGAGAGTTCCCTCCCCTGGCTGTGTTCACCAAGGGTCAAGAAACCCAGGTGTGGGGATCTCTGGGCTCATGCTGTTGTCCTCAGGGGAATGTTGGTGGATGGTTGTCCTTCATTTTCTTTTCTTTTGTCCTCCAACTACTTAGAGCATCTGGGATTCCAGTTACTATATATTTTGAAGCCTTTGATGCTTTATGCTTCATGCTGCACCATGACATTGAGCGTGCTTCAAATGAATAAAAAGCTTCCTTTAAAGCTAGTGGCAATTTACTGCCTGACTCTCTCTGGGACCACGTTTAGGGTTTTTTTAACAGATTAATGGCCAGAAGGCCACAACAAAGAGCAATGCATATGACTGAATAGTAACTTTTAATAGAGCGCATTGAGCTCAGGAGCTGAGTAGAGGCTTCGTGAAGCAAGAGCAATGTTAATCCTGGAAGGGCTCCTAAAATCTTTCGTAAGCTGCATTTAATTAAAAGAAAATTAGATACACAAGAGTTGATGCACGAGTTGTACATTTGTGCATCCCACTCAATGAATGAATCATTTCCCTGCCATCTTCTCTGACACAGAAATACCTTGCAATCCATTAAAGATGCTTAAATACTTTGTGGCTTCAATGGACCACATGCCACCACAAGCCACACGGGACATGGCTATTGAAATCCAGAGCTGAACTGATGTAACTATAGTGCTTCTTCAATAATCTTAGGAGAGACCACAGGCTCTCTACAGGAGAACACAATCACTGGCATTGATGCTAAGGCAAACGTCACCCAAACTACAGTTAAATTCACAAAGTAGATGGTCTTTTGTATTTCCATACACCCCATAACATATATATGGCATGTGTGCATCTGGGGCGGATCTCAGTTGACACAGCTTTACCAACAGTTTCACTTCATCGGGGAACAGCATGTGTCCTTCGCAGACAGGCATGGTTGTTACCAGTTGCCCCACTCCTGTTACTGGTAGAGAGCCACAGGGAGCCAAGAAGCTCTAACTGGAAAGATGAATGACAAGGTGGATATGTGTGGATTAGTTGAATGGCAGCTGGATCCAGTGTCAGACCAGGATGCAGCACAGGACCAACCAGCCCCTGCCCCAGCACAGACTTGCTCCTCCCAATCTCTCAGCGAGGGGCAGGATCCCATTGCAGACCACAAAGCACAGCAGCCCTGAAGGCATACACGCCTCATGCTCCAGTGTGCTGGGGACCTGTCAGCTTGTCTCACGTCCCTTCAGTGGGCTGAGGACAGTGGTTAGATCAGCAGCCTTCCCACTAGATTAATGCAGAGCTTTGCAGCTCTGCCGGCACTGTGCCCATGCCTGT